CCCCCCCCCCCCCGCCCCATTCGAATCCTGTGACCCAAAGAAGTATTGTTCAGTATAAAACATTCTTCACTGATTTATTGTCAAAGACGTCAGCTCTAATTGTCAAAATTGCTTCCTCTTCCGTTTTTGAATTTAGGATAGTCCTTTCAAATGAAGTTAAAACTTTTACTTTTCTATTTTCGGTGTTACAGAGAGACGCTTGTTCCTTTAGACGCACATTCCTTTAGAAATTTGTGTAATTGTTATTGTATAGAGTATCCGATCTTCATTTTCTTTCTTGTTTGAAGTGCTTATTTAAAAGTGAAGACGTTTGAAAGATTTTGTTAAAAGGAATTAGAAGCAAATAGAACAGAATAGTGTTTAATATGCTGAGTATTTAGTCTTTAAATACAGTAACGCCTAAACCCCGTTAAAAACCATAACCTACTGAACAATCAGCGAAGAACAATACTACTATGGTTTCAAAGGTGCGTACTACATACTATATTATTCCAATCTGATTTATGCTGGTTTGTTTGTTAGCTGCTTGTTCCTGTTCTAAATAATTTATCTTGCGGAAATCTTTAATGCCGTTTGTCCTATAGACATTCATAGAAACAACGCCGTAACTGTTTAATTGCCATCCTTCCAACGCGACAGGAAGAACAGAGATCCACTCAAACTTATTTGTCTACAAAAACACGGAGAATGATTGTAATAAGGACGGAAAATTACTGTATAAATATTCAATATGCGCCGCACGACAACTTCTGTGAGGCATTTTGGGCCAATATCGATTTGTTCCTGTCTGAGCCGTAAGCACACACTTCGTCCTCATCCCAGATTCGTCTTTATTCTGTTTATCTCGCTTTCTTCCTTTTGGGGATCCTTCAAAAAAGCTCCGCAGACAGGTCATAGCTCCAGAAAAAAGAACATAACAGTGAAGCCGCTATGAGTAAACGAAAGAAGAATGGATGGGAGAAAGAATAATTTTACAAATGAAAGAAGAATGTATAAGTGAAAGAAAGAACGGATAAGGGTAAACAAGAATGGATAAAAGGAATAATGGATTCAAGAAAGAAAAAAAGTCTGAGTGAATCTTTGATATGATCTAGCTTGCAGTACGTTGCCGTCTATGGTGTAGCAGTCAGGCTCTTTGCTGTGGCACGCGGAAGACATACGTTTGTTTCCCGAGTGGGGGGGGGGGGATTTTAATGGAGTATTTCGGTTATTCTGCTTAGAGGTTAACTCCCCGGATTGGCCTTGACAGGCGAGGTTAGGGTCTGCCACTGAAGTAATCCAAAACGACTTGATGAGGGCGTAAAAACACATACATAAAAACATCAACCTTGGAATACATAACGATTGGTTCTTAGAAACGATGATAATGCCTACAGAAAATGCAAGAAGCTGCAAAATGGCAAAAGTAGGATATTGAATATAGAGAGCTAGTTGTGCTGTTCAGTGATTAGTTGATCTCCACGGGGATTTTTCTATTATAATTATAAACGCTCACACACACATACACACATTAATACCCAAACACACACAAACAAACATACACACAATCTCTCTCTCCCCCCTCCTCTCTC